TAGGATTATCCGAGCATACTCGTGGGTAGGAGGTGGTGGTGAACCAAGAACAAAATGAGGTGGAGAAGTTGGCCCAGGCGTATGGCAACATGGAGATGGACGATGAAGATATGACTATATTGGTGGAAGTCACGACTGGGAATCTAACGCTTGTTGGGACCATCATATCGGAAAAGTCGATACGCTTCGCTACTTTCCGTGATATAATGGCTTCCATTTGGATACCGTTAAAAGGTATTACTATCACTGAATTGGGAAATAGATGTTATATGTTCCGGTTTTATAATGTGAATGATATGATGCATGTTTTGGAGGATGGTCCCTGTATTTTTTACCATCGAGGTGTCGACCGTTGCTCCCATCTCCCAGAACTTCCCCAACACAAGCTTCCACAACGCAAGCCAAATAATCAATTTTGATGATTTTTAACCCTGGATTTAACTTGGGTTTCGCGGCTTAAATTCTGATAGTTGAAGCTTGGAGACCTGGCTTCAATTTGAGATTCCAACAAGATTTCAACATCGATGGCAACCGACGATTTTCAAGGGATCCGAATTGCATCTCCAAAGGCGCTGCTTGACAACTTAGAGGGGAGAGCGCGTCACCTGGGATGGATTAGTGAGATAGTGTTGGTGATGAGGACTTCCGCTGGTCAGCCACGGCGGTGTGTCCATCTTCTCAACCATGGCGGTGCATCCATAGCTGGTTACGCAGAACGATGTATCCATTTGGTTTGCCAGAACGGGGGAGATCAAAAGGAAGCAAAAGAGTGAGGGAAAACAACCACTAGACGGTAACACGGTCCATTACCGGTAAAAAGAGTGATTTGCCATTTTTAATGAGTTTGAGGGTTTGGTTGAGCCAAATTTTAGTTGTGTGGTTGAGTTGCTTTTTTTGAAAACTAGAGGGGCTTATTTTTTTTTTTATAGTTTTCCCTATATTTTATAAACTTGTTTTATATGGGTTTAGTTGACGGGTTTCCTTTACCTTATCATTGAACTCTTTATTAGTTCCCTACTCATCTAACTTAGTATTAGGATTTTTTTCTAGAAAAGAATTATCTATTTAGTAAAATATGTTGTATTTGGTCTATCCTTAGATCGTGTCACACAAGGCCGGCCCTGACATATAAAAGGCCATGCCTTAAATTGAATTCGAGGCCTTGACATATAAAACATAATATTAATACTACCTCCATTCTTAAATAATAGTCTCCTTAGGGTTTTTATGATTTTTAAGAGTATGGTAAATGAAAACGTAGGAAAAAGAGTATTAAAAAGAGTAAAAGTAATGATAAAGTAAGAAAGAGAAAACAGTATGCAAGTTCATCTCAAACTGTACGAGTGCTTTGTGCTAATTACTATAACTAAGCGTTATGTAATAAAGAAATTGCACAATTGTAATTATCAATAGCATTTTAATTACATATAAATATTACGGAGTACTATTTAATGTTTCTATTAAAAAACCAAAATAGGTATCTTTAATCAAATAAAAAAGGATTTTGTATATTATGTAGACTATATTTAAAATTTTGAGCCTCCTAAATCGAGAGGGTTTGTGCGGTAGCACTTCTTGCATGCCCTAATCTACGGCCCTGGTGTCACATAAGTAATGTAATCAATATTTCACATCAAATTTTACTCATTTCAAGTTTTGTTTTGAATCATCAAATCCAACAACTATATAAAATCAAAATAACGTTTGTCACATGACTGATAATACATTCAAAGAAATAGAAGTAACCAAAACGATAAAAAGCCTCATGTCTGTTGTCCGCCCTCGAACCAGACTTAGAATCTATTACCTCTGGAGAAGGAATAATATCCACTGATCCTGTAATGGGCTTAACTGAGCCAATGACTGGCAAACCAGACTTCTCATCTCCTAACTTAAACTCTAGAAACTCCCTGCTAAGGAATAAGAACACATTAAAAACAACACGCAATTCGAAAGAAAAACACAAACATGATAAAACGGAATTAAAACAGAGTTTACCCATCTTCTTTCAAACCCTAGACGTGCTTGCACTCCATGGCGGCGGCTCAGGAGGGGGGCGCGCCCGCCGCTCATCCGCCTCAATACTCAAGCTTTTGACGATATCCTCCTTTAACATCCCTTGCTGCTGAATCGAAATCATACTCCACCACAGCTTATCCACCTTTGATCTGTCAACACTCGTCCTTCGACCAGAAATAACAGCGGAAGTTGAGCCCTGGCCGCCAAAGCGCTGCATCCCTGGTCCCGAGTGATGTGAGTTTTCTCGCACTTAAAATAGATCGTAATATAGAGGTGTAAGTACGAGTATCGTCTCCACAGGGACGGACAAAAGGGAATCAAGAATTAATTAAATTCAGCGATTAAAAAGAAAATAAAATAAAAGCGTCGTGCAAGATTGGTTGGTTTGGAAAATAAAATTAATGCGAACAATTAAACTAGGGGGTTCTTTCTAATTAATGACGAAGGGAACATGGATCGATTCCGGGGTAACCAGATTTCTGGCAGATCAGGCCTAATTACATGAAATTAATTTAATTGAGCCTAGCTAATCATTACTAAGTTCTTACCGCTCTCGCGGCGTAGAGTACAATAATTTAGGGGACCAGACTGATCTCTCATGCAACAGGATCCTAAATTATTGCCAAGACGAGCGAGCTTACGGCCCCTTAATCGCTACTAATCTCTTAGCAAACGATTAAGTGTGTATGAATGTGTCATAGAACAAACTAGATCTCTCTTAATTTATTCTACATGCAATTGTAATTCTAGTCGCGATTCTATGTTACAAAAGATATCAATTAAATTATTCAAACACAAATTAAACGGCATTCATGCAATTAAACCGAAAAGAATCTAGCCATACATCATGATTAACCCCTTCATCAATCCCAAATCCCTAATTAAAACTACTCACAATTCATAATTGAAGAATCGATAGAATTGGAATAAAAAGAATTAATTGTCATTAATTAAAAAGGTGGAACTTACAAAGAATCCCAAAAGATTGATGAACAAGGCTGAAAAGCCCTCTAAAATTCGTGCTAGGCACTCTCTCTAAGCCCCCCCCCCCCTTCAAAACGGGGGTTTACAGGCTGTTCAAATAGAAAAATCTGGTGAAATTTGAGCTGAATAAGGATTTTCGGAGCCAGACACGATGCCAGGCACAATCGTGCCTTCGATCGTGCCTCCGGAGCAAAAACGCGCATTTTGGGCAGGCACGATCGTGCCTCCCTCCAGGCACGATCGTGCCTGGCTGGCAGTAACTCCGCGGTGCTTTTCTCTTCGGGCACGATCGTGTCTGACTTTGAGGGCACGATCGTGCCTACTTAACTTCCGAATTTGACAAAACTTCCTTCATGAAAGTTGTAGATAATGAAGTCCTATATCCACCCCAATTTGCCGAATGTGATTTGAATCATCCAATCAAGAGATATGATCAAAACGGTGGAAGGTGTCTTTCTGAAATCGCAGCAGAGATCATCTGACTTCATCATCTGTTTTCACCTTCTTCCTCTCAGATTCTCGCAAAGGTGTCTTCATATGATTTGTAGCCCTTGAAGTTGGATTTCCTATGGAACCTGAATCGTGTACATTGGATGTTTCTACAAAGAGATATGCTTGAACGATTGACAGAAGGTCATCCTGATTGTCGTTTTCAAGCTTCATTCATCTTCTTTTGATCCCGAAGCCAGTCCTAGAGCTCTTTTTCCTTCAAATCTTCATCGTGAATCTTCCGGTGACCTCCAAAGCTATCAAATCATTCTCAAATGCTTCTCAAATCATCCCGATTGTTCCTCAAGTGCCGGTACCCGGGCTCAAATTCCCTGATTTTGACTACAAACAACACAAAACTCGAACCAACGCCCGGTAAACATAACTTGAGCTAAAATTGATACTTGTAACACCTTAAAGCTAGGAAAACCATCAAAATCCGACCCCAACACGCATCAAATGCATGTCCAAATACGGACTTATCACCGAGCCTTACGATGTTGCGTTACACCTCGTCCGACAAACCTCCAGAACACCGCTTCACAGCTCTTCCTCGATGAAACCACGAACCACGATGAATGCCCTCGCTTCCTGTCCGAACCCCTCCGTCCGACCTCCAAATTTCCGATGATAACAGGTGGCCGGGCGAACCAACCCCGCTCCTCGGCTAAGCTGATAGCGGACAAATCGATGTTAAGCTCCCCTTGTTTTAAAAGTAAAAACAATGAACATTTTAATTTTATTGCATATCTCTATACTCTCAAAATTTCAGGAGGGTCGACTGACCACCCTGAAAATATTTGAGTATATTAGTGCTGATTTTCCGGAAGTCATTGTTTGAGAGAACCATAATATTAATATACTAGAGTATATACTAATATACATTATGAGTTACGAGAACCATAATATATCAAATCGAAAATATGAAAACCATAATATACTAGTATACATTTTGAGAACCATAATATACTCTCAACATTTTAATATAGAGTATATTAGTGCTGATTATCCGAAAGTCATAATGTTCTACTCGTAATGAGTTACGAGAACCATAATATATCAAATCAAAAATATTTCATATCTCTATACTCTTAAAATTTCTGGGGGTCGGCTGACCATCCTGACCCTCCTTTGGCTTTGCCCCTGAATTGGGGAGTACCACATTTACAAACTAAATGTGTTATAAACTAAAAAAAACACTTCAACACGAGTATTATTTATAGTTAGATTCTATGATACCCAAAATGTACCATACTTTTGTCTACTTGGACCAATCAGTATTATTTATATTAGAATTACTCCGTATTTGAGAGGGTGACAACTCCGGTTCCCTTTTAAAAAATGGGGTACCGTACCTATTATTCATTTGATTGGACCACATCACTTTATTATTTTTAATTTAGATTTAAAGAATTCAACTGTAATATTGTCATTGGTTCATGTGGACAAAGGCATGATAGCTAACGGTTCATCTACTCATTTTCCATTATTTATTCATCGACCGAATGAAAACACGAGACCTTTCACCTTCTGCAATTCTGCGGCCGGCCTCTTCGATACTCGTAGAAGTGGATTAAATGTTCCAACAATTCTTATCTTCTTGATCGATACTCATTCTGTTAAGCTTAACCTATTGGCTTGAACCTGAATTACCATAATGAAACCAAATAATAATATGAGGACGACGAAGCAAGAATCCCCTGTTTGTTTGAAGCTGCTGATAGACGAGAAGGTGAATCGAGTGGTAGCCGCCGAAGCAAACTCGGACTTCGTGGATATACTCCTCAGCTTCCTCACCATCCCCATGGGAACCATTATCAGACTTACCAGCAAAACAGATGCGGAAAAAGACTCACCTCTGAAAATTGGTTGCATGAACAATCTGTACCATTCTTTTGAAAACCTCAGCCCAGAAATCTGGCAGACCAAACACTGCAAGACCATGCTGTTGAACCCCAGAAACCCGCTCTCCAAATACTTCACGGAGTTGATGATAAATGTGGATGATTCTGGGTCTGAGGTTTCGTATGAGTGTAGCAGGGGAAGGTGTAAAAGCAAGTACGAGAATGTTCTCTGCAACTGTGGCGGGATGAGCAGGACCGGGGCTGCAAAAGACAGCACTTTTGCTTCGTCTTTGTATAAACATCGGGAGCCTTACGGTGCGTTTCTTAAGAGGGAGAGGGTAACGTTCATTATCAGTGATAACTTACAAATCATTCCTTCTTCTCCGGCGGTTCTTGCTCAGATTCTATCCAGTCTTGGTTCTGGCGAAATCAACCTCATCAAGGAGATGACTGTACAAGTTAGTAAGAAGCAGGTACCAGTACCACAAGTCCACAACTCTCACCAATAACCTCTGTTTTATGGAAATACTTATATTTTGATTTTAGATCTTTTTTATTAGATGACCCTATTTCTATAGATTTCTCATGTTTTACTTAAAATGAAATGAGTTGAGCTTTGTTTGTATGAGGTCTAAAGAGGTGTTAGTAATGAAAGTGTTTTCGAATGACTTTAACACTCGTTTGATAACATTTCATATGTTTTTGAATATACATTTCATATGTTTTGGAATAAACTATTCAAAGATGGAATTCATATCATATGTTTTCCAATATACATTTCATAGCCCATTCAATGCGAACTGATCATCATATAATGTATACTTTTTTAAAAAACAATTTCCACATTATATTATGTTGTCAGGCAGTCCACCTGCTTGCACGCTCACTGGTTTCAAAGTCGCCTCTATCCGATGTGTTTCATGACATTCTCCCACTACCAAATATAGGAGCTCTAAACTTACATTCGAAGCCCCATAAGACAGTGACATTCTCATCAAATGGTGTTGTCCAGAAACAAGAAGAAACCGCTCATAAGTTGAGTGTGAAAGTGACACTTCACAAGTCTACGAACGAGATACTCTTTGTAGAAGCGAGTAGTGAGTTCCTTATTTCCTGTGCACCTTTATGACCATGCCTATCGGTTCAATGCTTTTTCTTTTGGAGGGGGATTCTGGGTTAGGCTGCATGGATGACTTGTACACAAGTATTGTTGAGCTGGATGAGAAATGGTTTCATAATGAGGCTAAGAATGCCTTACTCTGCCCGGCGATTGCACAACACCATAACTGTAAGAAGCAGCCTCTAAACTTGGCCGAACACTAGTATTGTGGCATTTATATTACAATGCCATACGACTTCTCCTAGGAATAACTTGTGAAGCTTATCTAGATTCTCACGGAGAAAGAATCATCATCATTACTGATGTTGTCCTATAAGCTCATGTGTGATGATTCAAAACAAATATTTTGAGCCATTAGTATTTCATCCCATATCATTAACTTAGTTTGTTTTAATAACTCTTCAAGCTCACTCTCTTGATGAATATTACATGTGGAGTTCTCTAGTGTAGGAACACTGATGTCAAGCTTTGAGTGTGGAATTCTCACTCTAGATAGAAGCAGCGAAGCAGGTCCACTTAATGTCGCAGTAATACGATATGGCACTAAGAACATATGGCCGAAGTCAATGTCTTCCTCGTATATAAAAGCTTTTTTATTTTCACCAACCATATACTAGTATAAAGTATACTTTAACTATTTAGTTACTAATAGCTTCCATTAACGTGTCATATGAAACTTGCGTAAAGTCATGTGTCTCTTGTTAAATTCTTCGAAGCCATTTCATTGAATTTTATAATCTCTTGATTAGCATTAGTTATCTCACCCATAAAAGATACACACTAACTTTGGAACTCTTCACATAAACTGAATGTATCATACCATCAAAATCAATTTCCTAGTTTGTATATTAATTTCTCAATCTCCTTAAGAGTTAGTTTTTTCAATTCTTGATGGCTAAGCTATATAACTAAGTATAGGAATTCAATAAATGAAACCTTATTATTAAATAGTAATCATGTAATCATGTGGGTGCCTTTTTGAAGGGAGGAATAGTGTTCACGATAAGTGACGATTTGGAGGTCAGGCCTTCCTCCAAATCGTCTTACTAAACTAGCTTATACCCACCATCGATTCAAGAGATTGCAGTAGAATCAAGGAGATGTGTGTTCAAGTTCGCAAGGCTGAGGTCACAATCGTGGAAATTTTGTAATGCTTGATGAAAACCAATTTCAGGGGCACATGAGGGCCTACTTGCCTACTTGAAGATATGGGTTTGTCTTTACATAAGGAAACCACTTAGGAAAAATTTGAAGGTTCAAAAATCGAATGAGGATTGTCTATCGGTCTAAGATACGAAAAACTTCCCAACTTTTGTTATGCTTGCGGTACTATTGATCATGACGATAGGTTTTGTCCTCAGATTCTTGGTCAACCAAACTCGGCACAAGTAAAGGAATTCGGACCGTAGATGAAGGCAAATACTGGAGTGGGGCAAATAAGTAGTTTGTGGTAGAAAAGGCGAATAAAGAGGGAGCTGATAATGATGTGGGAGTAGAGGGGTCCACATCGGCAAGGGAGCTAGTAGATGTGGGTTTGGGTGCTATTGGTCACAATAATCTTCGTATTACTCATCTTCGTATTACCCCCACCCTACAATTCTATGTCTAATTCACTGATGATCGAAATGAGAGTGTTTGTCCTCAATATATTATAATATAAGTCTTCTTTGTTAAAAGACAAGAGGATTTTTTGAAGTATGAGCATTTCCCTTTCTTGAGATTACCTTGATCTTTAAATAATACACATTTTTTATACCTGCACATTTAGCTTTGGGGTCACTAAAAACCTTCTTATAGGTTATTTGGAGCTATTTTTATTTTATGTGCATTGTTCCAAATAGAGTCGTCAAACTGAATCGAAACCCGCAGACTGGCCCATTTAAACCCATGCCATTTATTTGTGGGTTAGAGGTGTGATTTTCTTACCCATTTAATTCACGAGGGATCAACCCACACGGTTTGCGGGTTGACCCACGGGCCAATATACGAACATATAGTTTTGACTTTTATTATCTTCAATATTGTTCTTTTACTACCAAAATTATTATAATTACAATTAAAAAAAATACAACCATTGCAAAATAATTATTATTCCTATGATAAATTTTCAAATAAATTGGTAAAACATATAGTAGTATTTTAAGTAAAGTTCGATATACAGAGTTATACATAACAATTAGTAGTCATGATTTATAAATAATTACTCAAAAAGTTTAAGTATATCCTTACTTTAATACAATGAGTATTTTTCTTACAACATGCGGTCTTATAGTGTTCAAATTTTGCTATAACTAATATTTAATATTCTTTAATTAATCATAACAAATATTAGGTGCTTAGTATTTTGATATCTTATATTTCCTTTATTACTACTTTCCTAGTTATCAAGATGAATATATATACTCCAGAATAATTATATTAAATAGTATTTTGTAATGTACGGAGTATACTGTTTACATTGATCCGTAGGTCGACCCGTTTAGTACTTTAATCCACGAGTTAGGTGAGTTATGTTAGGATTGTAGATTTTATGGCCCATCACATATTTCATAAGTTCATAACTCGTTACGAACTAAGTCAGGCTGGGTCGGATTGACCCATTTGATAGCTCTAGTTCCAACTTCAAAAGTCCAAACATATCCTCACTCAATTTTGAAGGCCATCAATTACGAGGACTGGAAACAGAGTTATGAATATAAATGAGACTAATTTTAAACATACGATGCAGGTTAAAAAAAAAGGAGACGTTTCTGCTTCTTGCGTCTGTGCTTTAAAATTTAAATACACGTGAAAGTGGATCAACGCCATTTTCTTTTGCGGAGAAAGAGCTAAAGCGTAACTGTGGAGCGCTCATGGAGGCGGTAACGAAAGAGCCGGCTGTAGTATCCCTCAAGCTGTTTGTAGATGAGAAGAAGAAACTAGTAATGGCTGCGGAAGCAAACAAGGACTTCGTGGATATACTCTTCAGCTTTCTCACCCTACCAATGGGAACCATTATCAGACTCCTCACCTCTGCAAAGGACAAAACTACATCCGCTGTAACAGTAGGGTGTATGAACAAGATATACGAAGGTGTTCAAAACTTAAGCAGCGAGTATTGGCATTCGGAACACAGCAAGAACATGCTTCTCAATCCCAGAAATCCCCTTGCCAACTACTGCAAGAAGTTGAAGATTAACATCGATGATTCTGGGTCTGAATTCATTTACGGTTGTGACTGCCCGGGCTGTCAGTACTATAGCATGTATAGAAATGTTAGGTGCATCTGTGGAAGGGGGAAGACCACTTGTAAAAAGCAGCAGACTGTGGATTCGAGTTCTTGTAGTCAAGAGGGTGCCTTTTTGAAGGGAGGAATAGAGTTCATAATAAGTGACGATTTGCAGGTCTGGCCTGCCTCTCCGGCAGTTCTTGCTCAACTTATACCCGACCTCGGTTCAGGAGATTGTAGTAGAATCAGGGAGATGCGCGTTCAAGTTTGCAAAGCTCAGGTAACAGACTGCTTCTTTCCTCCCTCATAATTTTTACACATGGTTCTTTTAAGTTTTAAAAGATTATGGAGAAAAGGGGCAAATAAGTCCACATACTAACAAAAAAAGGTCAAATAAACCTTTATATAAGAGGTTTTGTCCATCCACCTCCTTTTAGGGAGGTTTCCGGTGGAATGTTTTGATGAAATTTTTTGAGCATCTTATTCATAAAGTCTAGTTTACTCATACCAAATTTCAGCAAAAACTTCAATCGCGAAAGCATTCCAATGAATTCTTGAAGATAACGGCGCAGTTAAAAGCGCAGTTATCTTCAAGAATTCATTTGAATGTCTTCCTGATTGAATTGTTAGCAGAAATTTGTTATGACTAAACTACATTTAATGAATAAGATGCTCAAAAAATTTCATCAAAAATTTCCACCGGAAACCGTCCCAAATGGCGACGTCCGGACAGAGCCGCCTATATAAGGGCTTATTTGACCTTTTTTGGTTAGTACGTGGACTTATTTGCCCCATTTTCTCAAGATTCTGTGGTACCCATAAGGTACCATAGACCAATGAGAATGTATCAGTTGAATTATTTAAATCTAAATTAAAAATGATAAAGTGATGTGGTCCAATAAAATGAAGGATAGGTACGTACCCCATTTTTAGAAGGGTACCGGACATGTCACCATAAACAAAATCCACAAATAAAATCATTATACTCCCTTCGGTCTATTGGACTTTTCAACCCTCCCTTTTTGATTGTTTAAAAAAAACTTTCACTTTTTTAGTAATGCAATTAATTTATGATTTTGTTCATTTCGCTCTCTTGTGCACAAAATTCAATCACACAACTTTTACTTTTCTTATTTATCATTTTCTTATTTATCAGTAGTATTTTATTCATATAATTGTAGTTTGGAAAGTTTTATACTTTTAATATTACCTCCGTCCCAATTTACCTAGTCATCTTTGACTTTTGAAGTCAAAGATGATAAACTATGACCAATTATTTCAACTAATATATTTATGCAAAATTTAATAATTTTATACTTTTATGATAGTATTTTTACCAAAGAACATTTTCATATTATAAATACTTTCTCTATATAAACATATAATCGGTCAAAGTTAAATGTCATTGACTTGAAAAGTCAAATTTGGCTAAGTAGAATGGGTGGGAAGGAGACAAGGAGTACGTAGTAGGATCAAGTACTAGTAAGTCATCTTTGAAAATAACACATAACAACTCCTATTTGAAGAATTTCTTGATATCTTTGTCAAAGTTAAATGTCACAAGGAATAATTAAGTACAATTTTGTGGTTTAGACTTGTATAGGAGAGGAAGAACTAATAAAAATCACAAGTTTTATTAGGGTACTAAAGGCGTGCACTTTTGAAGTGGATTTCTTTTCCAGAAATTGAAATATCGCTTCTTTTGAAGTGTACAATTATTTTGATTCAACCTAAAAATGAATACATGACAGGTAATCTCGCTTCTTGCTTGTGCCCTGGTTTCTAAGTCCCCCTTAAGTGACGTTTTTCTGGGTAAACGTCCTGTGGCAACCCCAAGGAAGCGGTTGAAACGTGGGACTACTCCTCCATCCTCACAAGCAGCTAATGAGCTGAGTGTTCCTCTTCTAAAGCTAAAAGTAACGTGTGTGAAGTCTACAAAGGCGATATTGTTTGGTGAGGCGACAGATGAGTTCTTCGATTTCATTTGCAGTTTTCTAACTATTCCTATGGGCTCAATCATAGATGTTTTGGAAGATAGTTCGGGGATAAAATGCATGGATAACTTGTACACGAGTGTGGAGGATTTGGACCAGAAATGGTTTCGTTCAAAGGAAAAGTGTGGCTTACTGGACCCCTGTATTGCGAGAGATCATAACTGCGAGACGCAGCCTATTAGATATATCACGAGCATATCTCGCGATAGGTATCTGATTAACCCAAGGGGCAGCTATAATTTTGCAGTAGAGCCGTCTGTGTTCTTGGTTCCAGATTATCTTGCCTTGAAGGCTCTTTCTGCTGCCTCCAGTTTCCTCTTACTAAAGGAATTGGAAGTGCCTTTCTCTCAGACTGAAGTGCAATATGTCTCTGTCGGTAACAAAGAGGTGATGGATAAATTAAGAACTATACCACCATTTTCTATTTAGATCAATTACAATGAGTCCATGCATATGCATAAGATTGCTTTTTTAACCTTGTTTGCAGGCATTGAGCCTACTGAAGGCTGCTCTTACGTCACCATCATCTGCTCTTACAATTGGCTTAGGCCCCTTCTTGAAGAAGCAGAAACCAGCATAGCACTCTTTACATGATTACATATATATGTCCCTCTGAATATCACAGCGAGCGCACAGCTTCATTTTTCAAATGAAAGCCTACCTTGAAAGTCCAGTTCTTTACTTCCTTTGTGTAAAAAATGTAATTCTACTTTGAACCCATTTTGTTTGGAATCATATGATTTGAAAGTCTACTTGTTATTTTTCTAGGGTCAGTTCTGTCACCCAAATGTTAGAAATTTAGAATAATTTGTATTTTAGTAAATGCGTTTTTAACTTTTGTTTAACATAATTGGAAATCAGCTTGGAAAAAACCATTTTAATGATCAAAATTACTTTGTGTACAAAAAGCTTACATTTTGTATACATGTTTCTAAGTTGTAGACAACTGGTGTTGGACACGTGCAACTCTTTTATGCTTTCACAAACATAATTTTCATCCCAAGGTATACTGACAGCTGGACAGGACAATATAATCCTGGTGTGCAAACTAATTCTTGTGTGCATAGTCAGTAGTTGGGTGTTAATAGACAACAATTGCTAGTTAACTGACAAAAGTTTATGTGCCTAAAATCTAAATAATGTATTTTTCACATCAATATCCCACATTTGACGTGCCAATTAATGATGCTGACTCAATTCATACAAAAACTAATAATAGTGGGCCTAAAAAAGTTTCCGGTTTTCATGGGTCTAGGACAGTCGCCCCTGTTGCATCCCCTAGGGCCATCCTGGGTGACACTAGTGGGAAGAGAAGTGACCGCAGTACGAAGACATCGGCGAGAAGGGTGGTGACATCAGTGGAAAGCACGGTGATAACAACAAGAAGTGCACTGAACTCGAGTCGAACGACAGTTATACCGATGGAAGTTGAGTGACGTTGAGTGTGAATTAAAGTGATTTTGATTAATGGAGTGAACTTTTTTAATACTCCGTAATAGGTTATTGAAAACATAAATTGGTATTTTTGTCTGATAATTTATGTTTGGTCATATTAATTTCTCAACCATAGTTATAGAAATTTCAAACATCCGATAAATTTCCTTCTTTTCACTAATTTGAGTTTGATTGTTTTTCACTGATTTCAGCTCATAGGAGTGGGCTAACTATCTTTCTGGTTAAGACGAACAATTAGCCGTAGATTCCAATTTGAGGGATTGGGTGTAGTCTAAAATAAAGTAGTCCTTCACTCCTTCGTATGTATCCACCACTATTCAATACACACTCGCAGTATTATAAATAGTCTCAGGCCTTTCAAGTTCTGCTGCCCTTTCAATGCTCGTACGGGGAAGTGGATTACATATCATTTCCTTGGCCAACTTTGAGTATATATATGTTGCCTTCCAATTTCCAACAATTCTTATCTTCTCGATAGATATAGACAGTTTGTTAAGCTTAATGCCAGTTCTTGAACCTGATTATATATAACCATCACTTGTAATATGGAGACGAAGCAAGAATCCCCTGTTTGCTTGAAGCTTTTGATAGACGAGAAGAACAACCGAGTCCTGGCTGCAGAAGCAAACTCGGACTTTGTGGATATACTCCTCAGCTTCCTCACCATCCCCATGGGAACCATAATCAGGCTCACCGGCAAAACAGATGCGGAAAAGGCAGGACCTGTGAATATTGGGTGCATGACCAAGTTGTACCATGCTTTTGAAAACCTCACCCCAGAAAACTGGAAGACGAAACACTGCAGGACCATGGTGTTGAACCCCAGAAATACGCTGGCTTATTCCTACAGGAATTTGAAGATTAATGTCGATGATTCTGGGTCCGAGGTGACGTACACTTGTAACCGCAACATGTGTAGGAGCAAGTACGAAAATGTTGCGTGCAAGTGTGGGCATGGCTCTAGGATCAATACCAAATTCAGACCAACGATTGCTTTATCTTTGGCAGATCGCGAACCTGAGGGTGCGTTTCTCAAGTGGGGGATGATGATGTTCATTATCACTGACAATTTACAAATCAGACCTTCTTCCCCAGTCGTTCTTGCTCAGGTTCTATCCGGACTTGGTTTCAGTGAAATCAACTTAATCAAGGAGATGCCTGTACATGTTAGTAAGCAGCAGGTACAACACTAATATCTCCATTACTTCCATAATCTTTTTTATTTCTTGTGTCTCTTAAAATTCTGTCAATTTTGTCTTTGTCTCACTAACTTTACTATTTTCTTTTTTAAGTAAAGAATTTGTGCTTCCAGTTAATTCTCTCTTCTTTACATAAACCTCAACCATATCTTTTTCCTCATTAATCCCGTACCGGTCAAACTTATCAAGGTTTTAAGGTACGGAGGTAGATATATTTTAATATAAACATGAATTTAGATAATAATATGTATGATAAAAGGAAACCCTAGTTTCTATATATCGTTTGGTATTGAAATGTTCAAATTGAACTAAAAGAATAACTAGCAATATACACGGAAGGTTTTACTGAAAGTGTGAGAAATTATCGAGAAAAAAACAAAAAAAAGTAACTTTTAACTCTGCAACATATAAAGACTAAAAAAAGGACCCTTTTTAGTGATATTTTTTTTAATCAAAGTTTTAAGGGACATAGGAGTACAAACTCTCATAAAATAGGACCTTCCTTTTACCATGACTATCATAAATTGATAATTAAAGTAATCCCACCTTTGATACAATATACTTCTTCCGTCCCAAATTAAGAGACGATAAACTTACATCTTCCATTCAATTAGTTTTACTATTTGTGGCTATTGTGGTGTTGCGACGCGTATTGCGGTGTGGCCCCGTTGCGGTTTGTGTTGGAGTTTTCCGTAAATCAGACTCCCAGTTGTATTGTGGCTCAATGCGGTTGTGGTGCCGCACGCGATCGCAATATTGCAGCCACATCAGGCATTGATCCGCAATTTAAAAGCTTGAGTTTAATATACAGTAGATATGCTATTTGAGACATGTGTAATTGAATTATAGCAGAAATTAGATAAGCTAGATAACCTATTATTTAGCAATCTGATTAAGATCCGGGGTTTTAGTTTAAATGATCCTCCTGATAAGAGCAACTCTAGATTTTAATATAATGTTTAATTGTTTTAGAGATTTGTGGATAAAAACCACTCCTCACGATCACACAGAGTCTGGATCATGACCTCATTCATTTTCTAATTAGTTCATTATTTTTTTAATACTTGTGTCGTCATTTTTCATAGGTATTCAAGGATTTCCAGATAATGCATGTTATGTTTGCAGGTGATCCGCTTGCTTGCATCCTCAATGGTTTCAAATTCTCCTTTATCCGATGTGTTTCTTGACCCTCCCATAAGACCAAATGTAGGAGCTTTTAGCGCATTTTCGAAAACCCAGAAACCAGTGACATCCTCATCAAATGGTTCTGTCCAGAAACCGGAGGGAAATGCTCAGAAGTTGAATCTGAATTTGACGTTGAACAAGTCTACTAAAAAGATATTGTTTGCAGAAGCCACTAAAGACTTCTTTGATTTCCTGTGTACCTTTATGACCACCCCTGTTGGATCAATGGTGTTTCTTTTAAAAGGGAATTCTGGGTTAGGCTGCATGGATGACTTGTACAAAAGTATGATCGAGTTGGATATCGAATGGTTTAATTCAGTTGCGTTGAAGGCGACCTTAATTTGCCCCAAAGTTGCAAAGCACCATAACTGTAAGAAACAGCCTCTAAATTTGGAGGAAGAATGTCCATGGGATAGTCTGATTGACCCCAGGCAGAGTGATAGCTTCTCCAAAGAACCTTTAAAGTTCATAATTTTAGATGATTTGGAAGTGAAGCCTCTGTCTTCTGCATCAAGCTTTAGCATTCTGAAGGAACTCAAAGTCCCCATCACTGAGATTGAGCAGCAAGCACTCACGGTTAGCATGGAAGAGGTAATTTTGGCATACTCCCATTCCCTACCCTAAGGGCCCGTTTGGATGGAGTGTTTGGGAGTGTTAGTAATGGAAGTGTTAGTAAGTGTTAGTAAGGGCTCGGAAGGGAAGGGAAGTGTAAGTGTTAGACATAATTTTACCTTGTTTGGGAGAGTCAAATGAATGAAGTGTTAATAATGGAAGTGTTAAAGAAAGAATAAAGAAAGAGTAAAGAGAAGAGATGAAAAAACAAACCATCAGACCCGTGGGAAAGACATTCGAAGTGGAATGTCGAAACATTTTATGTTTTTCGGGCAAATGAGAAGGGTAATAATTGTCCAACACCTCAAAACACTCCAAATCGGGGTGTTAAGAAAATAGACAATTGAGGTGTTGGGAAGGTTATTATTAACACTTCCTAACCATTACTAACACTTCTTAACACCTCTGATTTTTTCTCCCAAACAAGTGTTAGCATCAACACTTACCAACACTTCCATTACTAACACTCCTCAACACTCAATCCAAACAGGCCGTAAAGCTTAGTTATGCTACATTTAACTTTTTGGTCAGTGTCGAATAAACAACATTGGCACAAAATCACTATATAATTGCAACACTTTTATTTTAACTGCAACACTTTTATTTTAACGTTTATTAAGAAACGGTTTTCCCCATATATGTAGTACGTGGTACAAAGTATTTTATTGAATAATAATGAAAATTATAAAACACGTGTTTAGAATATCAGTCTAAGACAAATTTATAATATATTTTTTTATAAAAAAATTATTTGGTACATGAATAAATAAAAAGAAATTAAATTAGTGTGTGGATGGTGTAGCAAAAGTCAAAGTACTATAGGAAGATAATGTAAAACTCAAACTACTTTTCAATTATTGAAGAAAAGAAAAGGTATGAGTGATGCCATGCATTGAGATTGTCAGATTACCTAATTAAAACATATTCATATTTCTCTATTCTTTAAAAGGTAAAACACTTTTATTTTTACATTATTTTCACTCTACTTTGATTTTTTCATAAGTTACAAACTCCATTTTGACTCGTTTTTTATTTATTGCTGTACTAAAAAACTGTTCTATATAATAAAATAGATAATAAAACTTATTTCGGATTGAAATTTATTTATTTTTAATCAATGTTTACTGATGGTCAATGAGGAAATTAAATTTTCAAATTAAAAGTGTTGTAATCACATAGATCAAATGTAATACGAAGTATTGTTTGTCACAAATGGGTTTTTAAAAAATGTTCACTACATCCTCCTAGAAGTTTAGATTATTTCAACTTATGTTTTTCTATTTTAAATGAGTTTTTTTTAAAATGTTATTGAAATAAAACTTATATATTTAGAAAAGTATGACTAGAGTTAAAGTTACTATGAGTATATTGTCAAGGTCTAATTGGATGTAAGTTATTATGACTAAGTTACCAGTGGCGGACACACATGGGGGCTATGGGGGGCTGCCGCCCCTTCGCTGAAAAAAAATTATAGGTATATTTATCTCGAAATTTTTAATGTATATGTATTTGTATGTATATTCTTGTACTGTCGCCCCTACTATCGGCAAATCCTGCTTCCGCCGCTGTAAGTTACTACAATAATCATTATGCTCAAGATAATGCTGCCCAGTACATATATACAGAGTATAATAAATGAATTTGATTCAGTAGGGAGTTCCACCAAGGAGGATTTGTATCGGCAAAGAATTGGATTTTAATAACAATTTGCGCAGGTATTTTAATTCGCAAATTATATCGTGCAACCGGCGCACCATGAGGATGGTGCGCCCGGTTGCAAAACAACGGAGTATTTGAGGCCTGGTTTCTTGTTTTTTTATTCTTTTGTTTTTAAAAAATGGTAATAACTTTTTTATTTTTGATCCGATTTTTATAAAATTTATATCAACATTTTTTATTTTTCATGATCTTTCAAACGAGACCAATATTGCTTATGTAACTTTAAGAAATTATCGAACTATTATATTAATGTGTATTGGATTATAAAGAAAACCAAACTAAATTTAATACAGAAAAATAATTGTGTAAATCACAAATTATCTTAAAATTGTGTATATAAAAAATTTATTGTATAAGGTATTTATACATGTGATCGAGTTACATATTTTTATATGTGAAGTTACATATTTTTACACGTAAAGTTACATATTTCTACACGCGAGTTACATATATATACACACGAGTTGCATTTGACTTGCCTGAACGCGAGTTACATATATTTACACGTAGAGTTACATATTTTTACACGTAAAGTTACATATTTATACACGCAAGTTACATATTTATACACACGAGTTGCATTTGACCTGTCTGAACGCGAGTTACATATTTTTTTAAGTAAAGTTACATATTTTTACACGTAGAGTTACATATTTATACACACGAGTTGCATTTGGCCTGACTAGACGTGAGTTACATATTTCTACACGCAAAATTACATATTTTACATAGGTTAAATTTACATAGGCAATATTGGTCTCATTTGAAAGATCATGAAAAATAAAAAATGTTGGTATAAATTTTATAAAAATCGGATAAAAAATAAAAAGGTTATTACCATTTTTTTAAAAAAAGAGAAATAAAGAATAAAGATCCGGTGCTTGCCAAATACGCTGCTTGCCAAAAACCGTATGCCGGTATACGGTGCTCACCGTATACCGGTCATACGGTATAACAACTGATTTTAATTCCTATCTACCCCTTCAAGGCCGCAGGGACGAAGCACACACCGGAGAAGATGATGACTTTGGTCACTCAGTGTCTTAATTAATAACAAACGCTACCATTTTGGGATTGGTACATTATGCGCACGGTATACCGATCCCACGGTATAATTTGCATTATAAATCACATTACCTCCGCATTTCCCAATTAATGTTAGTGGAATCATTTTCATTGTAAAGGAGGAAAAATCAGAGTTTTTTCCCGGAATAATGCTGCATAAATAAATAATTCCCAAAATACTGCTGGGTTAAAAATAATTCCCAAAATACTGCTGGGTTAACTGTGGTTAAGGAAAGCCGCCACTTGAAATGGCGGCTTTTCTCTACACAGTACAAGAGCCGCCACTTGAAGTGGCGGCTTTTCTTAAAGCATAAAGCAACACACTTACGCAACATATATGCTCAAGTCTAACAACAAATGCAGTGGGACCCATCCAAAATTAAAAATCCCCTGTTTTCTTTGAACTGCTGTAACTTTTTTATTTGTACTTTGATTATTACAAAAAATATATCAATATTCATAATTTTTCATTATCTTTCATATGACACCAATATTGAATATATAAAATAAAAAAATAATTTAACACTAAAAATTACTATCTCCGGTCCTAAATAAACTTCTCGTACACTTTACGATGCTTGACTGACGATAAAACAACCCGATCCATGTTCACACCCGGTTTATTTTTAGTAAATAAAATTTACATTTTCAGAAACTACATTAAAACCGCTATTTTTAGCTTTTTATCAATTTTAAAATAGACTGGTTAAATCACTCTTAATCTTTATCAATTTTCAAAAACCAGTCTATTTTCAAAAACTAAAAGATTAAGAGTGATTTAACCAGTCTATTTTAAAATTGATAAACAGCTAAAAATAGCGGTTTTAATGTAGTTTCTTAAAATGTAAATTTTTAGTTTTTATATTTTTAGTGTTAAATTATTTTTTTATTTTATATATTCAATATTGGTGTCATATGAAAGATAATAAAAAATTATGAATATTGATATATTTTTTGTAACAATGAGAGTACAAATAAAAAAGTTACAGCAGCTCAAAGAAAACAGGGGATTTTTAATTTTGGATGGGTCCCACTGCATTTGTTGTTAGACTTGAGCATGTATGTTACGTAAGTGTGTTGCTTTATGCTTTAAGAAAAGCCGCCACTTCAAGTGGCGGCTCTTGTACTGTGTAGAGAAAAGCCGCCATTTCAAGTGGCGGATTTCCTTAACCACAGTTAACCCAGCAGTATTTTGGGAATTATTTTTAACCTAGCAGTATTTTGGGAATTATTTATTTATGCAGCATTATTCCGGGAAAAAACTCTGATTTTTCCTCCTTTACAATGAAAATGATTCCACTAACATTAATTGGGAAATGCGGAGGTAATGTGATTTATAATGCAAATTATACCGTGGGATCGGTATACCGTGCGCATAATGTACCAATCCCAAAATGGTAGCGTTTGTTATTAATTAAGACACTGAGTGACCAAAGTCATCATCTTCTCCGGTGTGTGCTTCGTCCCTGCGGCCTTGAAGGGGTAGATAGGAATTAAAATACCTGCGCAAATTGTTATTAAAATCCAATTCTTTGCCGATACAAATCCTCCTTGGTGGAACTCCCTACTGAATCAAATTCATTTATTATACTCTGTATATATGTACTGGGCAGTTAACACGGTCCAATAGCCTGCAATTTGCCGCCTCGGTATAGAATCTGCCTGAGCACAACAGATTTACAATGAAATCGGGAACGGAGGAATCAAATTCAACTAAAATCATGACTGAAGCCAAAGTCTATAACAAACCTTATTTCAGATCGGTGAATAAGATCTATCGTGCATAATTTAAGAAAAGATGGTATTAGACCCGGCCATGACTGATGAGGGAGCCAAATAAGATAGCTTTTTCTGGCCGTGGTTGTAGTCTCACGGGCGAGTTCGCCGAGTTCCCTTACGGCACTAGGAAAGTTGCATTTTGATTAGCCTTTATAAGTTACATTTCCATTAATATAGATTTACATTTCCATATGCCCTATATTACATTTCCTTTAACAGAACTTAAATTACAACTTGCATTAATAAGTTACATTTCAACTAATGTAATTTACATTTCAATCTATCTAAGCAATTAAGTTACATGTCATGTAACGTGATTTACATCTCAATATATCTGAAGTTACATTTTAATATACACGATTTGCATTTCGTATATCACACTGAAGAGAATAACTATTGAAGGGAGTAAAGTAACATTCCAGCGCCTGAGTTACATTTACCAATAACAGAGTGAAGGACATGTCTGGTACTCTGATATTAAAGATACTGAACTGTCTAAGGCACAATCTTCTAAGCACAAATTATAAGTTGACATTAGCTTATAATTACACCAACACATTTTTGATACCCAAAGTACCCTTACCCTCATTCACTATTATAATATTTTATTATTTATTTATTTATTTATTTATAGATACACTACTTTAAATTAAATATATGTATAAATGTGACGAGTGTTTTGTCATTTAGCTACTAAAAACTCTAATATAGGTATTGAATGACTCGACCAAATGTGAGGATACATTATAGGTTGTCAACAAAGACAAGATTTAGTCATTCTATATGCAATAATCTATAACACAATCAAGACTCATTAACTTTTTATCATGGTTTCATATGCAATTACTCTTAACACCATCCAGACTCATCTCTTTATCGTGTCAAATTATTTACAACAGTTTGTTCTTTTTATGAATTTTTTCCACTGACTATTATGTCATTGACACTTTTGGTACTCGACTTTGATTTTTTCTATTTTTAGTCCTTGACTATTGCGTTAGAGGCACTTTTGGTACCTGTCTTTGAATAATTCCATATTTAGTCTTTCAACTTTCATTAAAGTGGCACTTTTGGTCCTTCAACTATTATAATAGTGACATTTTTAGTCCTTCACTTATTGTGTCAAAATCACAATGGAAGGACTAAAAGTGTCAATTATACAATACTCAGGGACTAAATGTGGAAAATTTTGTAGTCAAGGACTAAAAGTGTCTCTAGCACAATAGTCGATGACCAAAAATAGAAAAATTAGAAGTCGAGTACCAAAAAAATCATTCACGCAATAGTTAGGTGATAAGCGTTTTATTAACGTGTTTTACACAATCATTTATAAACGCTTTTATACTTAAAAGAATTAAATCTTCACACATATGCCTTGTTTTGCTAGAAGTTCTTTAAATCAACAAATGGATCAAATGCAAGGATGGTAGAATACACACGAAGAAACCGACGGAAAAAGGTCAACCAAACGCATCCCGAGGAACAAATAAAGACCACAAAAACGCCCAAGACAGACGAAAGCCGCCCGGTTTATGCCAAAGGCGGCCGGCCTTTGGTCCCCAAGCTTATTTTCGCATCCAAAGCTGGAAAATCTGATCCGGAGCAAGAAAGGACGAAAGCCGCCCGGCTTTCGTGAACACCGGCCGACTTTTGGTCGCCGAAGGAATTGTTCAGAATTTAATTACAAAAGCCGCCCGGCTTTTGTAAATGGCGGCCGGTTTTCGGGCCCTGGAGCGAAGGCAGACTATTTTAAACGCGCAAAAGCCGCCCGGCTTTTGCGAATGTCGCCCGGGTTTCGTCTGGCACTGATTAAAACAGGCAACGGTCATCACAATCATTCGAGAGAAGCTCCAAACCCCATTAAGGAGCTTGCTTCCTTGTCCAAAAATGGCCGTTGAAGACCCAATATTTAAGCATATGGAAGCCCTCTCAAGTGATTATTCCATATTCCATACACTTTACTTCCATTTTAGCACTCCAAGATCAACCCCTTGGTCTTGGGAGAAGTTCTACACTTGGGGATCCCATTATCCACCATAGCTTTGGAGTTGTGGTATTATCTTCTTATGTATTTCATTGTATTTCATCAATTCAATACTTGTAATTTCATTATGAGTTGCTCTAGCTAATTTTCCATAGCCAAGGTTAGGGATGAAACTTTACGCATTCTAGGTGTTTGATGTATGTTCTCAACCAAATTATTATGATCTTTCCTTTTTATTTTAATGTGTATGACTACGGTGTACAGCGTATGATTATATCGTTGGGTTTATTTGAGCAATTAACGTTGAGTTATAAACCGTGCACTTAAAGGCTAGACATATTCTAATTGTGGATAGAAATATACCTCAATTGAATATGGTGGTTGTAATAATGTCCTAATCTTCAATGGGGTTAATTTTAGATGAATGTGAACCGTGACGGGATTCACACGTAGAATTAATCACAATCTCGCTGCCGTAACAGGAGTTAGAATACTTTAGCGACATTCCACTCATAAGAATTGGTGAAAGAATATACATTAATCGCTAGGAGTCGTTTAGGAGTAATCCCGAACCCTTGGTTGCTTTCATTACCACTTGAAAAACCAAAAATCTTTACTCTTTTACCAAGTCTTTTACAAATTATATTCTCAATTTTTGAATCATATAAACAACGTTTCCTCGTGTTCGACTCGGTATTTTTACCGGATTTTATTACTACATCGGCACTTGTACACTTGCAAGTTTAAGCCGATCAAGTTTTTGGCGCCGTTGCCGGGGAAACGGTCTTGTTTATTTGATTCAACAAAAATTTCTGATTTTTCCCTTTACGTTTCACGTGGTATTGTTTTGAATTTTGTTGTGTAGACAAGCTCTTAGTGCATGCTATTGAGAAGTCAAGGCTCTACAAACCTTGAACCTATCAATCTTGAGATTGAGAGAGCTTGTAGAAGGAATCGGAAGAAGAAGGAAGCTAGAGCTACAACAATGCTTCCCACACTCAATGAACGGAAGAGACCCGTCATTGCA